CCACCTCGGCCATACACAAAGAGCTGGTGATCACAGGTGTGAGCCACCCGCCACCTGCGCCTCCCCACTCTTTGTTAATAGCCCTTCAGCCAGCCTCTACTCTTTTTTTAATAATCTTTCAGTCTGGCACGCCGTGGCTCATGCCTGTAATCCCAGCACTTGGGAGGCCGAGGTGGGTGGATCCCTGGAGGTCAGGAGTTCGACCCAGCCTGACCAATATGGTGAAACTCCCCCTCTCTACTAAAAAATACAAAATAGGCTGGGCCATGGTCAGGCGCCTGTAGTCCCAGCTACTCCTGAGACGAGGCGCGAAACCTCGCTTGAACCCAGGAGGCGCGGAGTTGCAGTGAGCTGAGATCACGCCATTGCGTTCCAGCCTAGGCAACAAAGCCAAGACCTCGCTGTCTCAAAAAAAAAAATAATATAATAGTAATAATCTTTCCAGTTGATCCTCCCTCTTAACTTTTCTAAGTAGACTATTATCAATCTGCAAATAATAATAATCTCATCTTCCCTTGTCGTCCTTATATTTTTCATATTGTATTGGTTAGAACTTCTAGAGCAAAACTAAATAATATTGCAGTTAAGGCAATAGTGTTCTATTCTTAGTTTTTCTTTCTTTTTGTGTGTGTGTTTCTTTTGTTTATCATTTCCCCTATACTGTACTAATCATATGTTTATTCTGTTTTTAATCATTAACACCATGAGCTTTATTGCTAGATTTTTCTAACATCAAACTGTTCTTAAATTACTAGAATAATTTCTACTTGTTGATGGTATATGGTCCTTTTTAATGTAATTCTGAATTTGCTAATTTTTTTTTTTTTTTTTTTTTTTTTGAGACTGTCTCGCTCTGTTGCCCAGACTGGAGTACAGTGGCGCAATCTCGGCTCACTGCAAGCTCCGCCTCCTGGGTTTACACCATTCTCCTGCCTCAGCCTCCCTAGTAGCCGGGACTACAGGCACCTGCCACCTCGCCTGGCTAGTTTTTTTTTTTTTGTATTTTTTAGTAGAGACGGGGTTTCACCGTGTTAGCCAGGATGGTCTTGATCTCCTGACCTCATGATCCGCCCGTCTCGGCCTCCCAAAGTGCTGGGATTACAGGCTTGAGCCACCGCGCCCGGCCAGCTAATATTTTTGAAAAGATTTTTACATTTATAATTCCTAAGTAAGACTGACATGTGATTGTCTTTGTCGTGCTTGTTACCAAGGTTATGGTAGCTTAAAATGTGAATTAGGCTTTCCATCTTTTTTTGTGCTCTAGAAACTGTCTTTAATTATGATAATGACACTTTTTTCCTGATTACAAAAATGATCATTTTCTTATAAAATGTTAGAAAATCCCACTACTTAGATAGAACCATGGTGCTTTCATGTGTTTGTATTTAGTTCCTAGGTTGTTTTTTCTCTGTTTGGGTGATATTTTATTTTATGACTTGATTTTTTTTTCCTTTTCATAAGTTGTGATGGATATCTTTCTATGTGAACAAATTGAGATTTGAGCCATAATTTTTAATGGCTACATACTGTGTCTTTTATCTCCCGAATGCTTTTGGTTTTTGATTTTGTGGGTTCCTCTTCGTAGGCCTGGTGTGTGGGGGGCTTTTTTGTTTGCTTCTTTTGCCCTTTTCTCTTTGAGTGTAGAGAGATCTGTTTTCCTTGGTGTTTCCCTACAACGTTGTAGGTGGTTCTTCCTTGGTTCCCAGGAGCATGGGGATAGTTCAGGTTCGACTTTTCTTGGCTGCTGGTGCCTTGGAGGTCTGCTGGATGTGTGCAGTCTGGGCCGGCCTCTGGCACACTGGCTGGTTTTCCTTGGTGTGATTCTGCAAATCCAAGGAGGGAGTCCACTTGAGTTATATAATTGCTGCTTTTGACAAGGTAGCAAAGGAATCCTGTGGTATTCTGTCTTTTTAACATGTCTCTGATTTCATCCGTGGGTGAATATGTTTTAACTGACACAGGCGGTTTTTTCGCGTTTCCAAATTCCTGAGAGGCCTCTTCTCGCCCTCTTCTCCATCCTTTAATGTAACAGGTTAGAGTCACAGACACAAATTTCCTCTGGGGTGATTGGAGAAAATTCACATACTCCTGGGAAAAGAGGCATGTGTGGTTAACATTCCTCTTGCATAAAAAGAACACATTGCCATAAAACGTTTCATTGGGTTGTAAATTTTACCGGTTGTTTAGAGAGCCTGGTGGGGATGGTAATGGGACTTCACGCTTTGTCATTTGAAGCCTGATTGAGAGAACTGTGGGTTTTTGCTCTGGAATGAAGACTTGGGGAACACAATTTCCTGCATAGTTCCAAGGCAGATACATATCAATGGGTAGAAGCTCAGGCCACAGGATTCAGCTGATGGTGAGAGCTCACTGACAGTTTCTAGTCAGTATCGGTGTTCCAGTCTGGCTTGGCTCACCACTTGGCCAGGATGTGGAGCGGGTACGAGCTGTAAGTGGGCAGCTGGGCCAGGGCACCACTGAGCCTCCTTCCAGCCCCGAGTTTGTCGTGAGGGGCTGAGTATCTGTCTCTTCCAGCCCTGGCTTGGTTGAATCATAGCCCGTGAAGTAGTGTTTATGTGATGTAATTTCGTGGATTCTGCACTGTGGACTAGAATACTTAGGATGTGTTCTTTTCTTTTCAGCTTACCGTGACAATCAGAGCTTTGTTGCAGAACCTGAAGGAAAAGATCGCCCTTTTGAAGGACTTATTGCTAAGAGCTGTGGCAACACATCAGATGTATCCATGTAAACATTTCCACCTCTTTTCTAGAGTGGGAGGAAAAGCAGTCGTATTTTAAGAAAGGAAGGAATCTGGGCCACCCAGATTTTCCCACAGCTTGAGGAAGACCTGGTTTCCAAAATATTGCCTGTAATCTTGATTTCTATTTTCAGTGTCTGTTACATGTTTTACAGTGAATATGCTGGCAAAGCAAGACCTACCGAGGGAATTAACTTACTTGGGTGTAACCTGTACAGTTCAGGAAGCTAATGCTTTCCATCAGTGCTGTATTTACGGAGCCCCGCACTGCTCCCTGTCTAGACCGCCTTGACCGTAGCTGGCTACTCCTCCAACAGGAAAACTTCCATGATCATCCTAAGCTGTGATTCTGCTTCTGGAAGTTTCCAGAGTTTTTAGTGATCATTTCTTTTCGGAGAGGCCAATACCAGTAGAAACCATACATCTCTCCCTTCCCCACCTACCCCGGTGTTTATGTAGATGATTGAGATATGGCTTGTTTGCCTTATTTTTCCTCCAGAGGCACAGACACTGCCTCTAGTATGGGAGTTTGAGGGGAAGGGGTGGGGTGGGACTTCCTTGAAGCAAGTTATGCCATCATCTTAACCTCCTACCAAGTGGTAAAATATTTTTTTTTTTTTTAGAAATTCATAATCTGGGCCAGGTGCAGTGGTTCACGCCTATAATCCCAGCACTTTGGGAGGCCAAGCACTTGAGGCCAGGAGTTCGAGACCAGCCTCGTCAGCACGGTGAACCCCATCTCTACTGAAAATATAAAAATTAGCTGGGCATGGTGGCACACACCTGTACTCCCAGCTACTCGGGAGGTTGAGGCAGGAGAATCACTTGAACCTGGGAGGCGGAGATTGCAGTGAGCCGAGATCATGCCACTGCACTCCAGCTTGGCCAACAGAGTGTGACCCTGTCTCAAAAAATAAAAAAAAGAGAAATTCATAATCTGATCAATTTAGGAATATATACATGACTTGTTACCTATACTAACCCTTTACACCCGAGTGTATATTGGTTTGAAAACTTACCTCAAACTGGTCTTCTCTCATCATTTCTCTAAATTGTCAGTAGTTCATGCCAAAGACCCAATTTTTCATATTTCAGAGAGTGGATACTTCCAGGTTTTAAATATATGGAAATACGGGAATACAACTTTTTAGATAAAACAATGGAAAGTGTTCTAAAAATTATTTTCCCCCATTGTTACCCCTTTATATCACTAGGAAAGTTGGCTTAGTCGCATGATTTTCTAGATATTCAATTATTGATCCACTAAGGTTTAAAATAAGAGTTTAATTTCAAACAATTAGGGCCTTATTTTTAACACAATTGGAATATTCTGAGATACTTCACCTTCCATGTCGTGTAATTTGTTGTGGCACAGTTGGTCTATCATATAAAGGGTTTTTATTTTACCCAAATCAACAAGTCCTAATATACAGACCTCACTGCACCATTGTGCCCAGCTAATTTTTTTTTTTTTTTTTGAGAGAGAGTCTCACTCTGTTGCCCAGGCAGGATTGCAGTGGTGCAATCTCGGCTCACTGCAAGCTCTGCATCCCAGATTCACGCCATTCTCCTGCTTCAGCCTCCCGAGTAGCTGGGACTACAGGTGCCCGCCACCAGGCTCGGCTAATTTTTTTGTATTTTTAGTAGAGACAGGGTTTCACCGTGTTAGCCAGGGTGGTCTCGATCTCCTGACCTCGTGATCTGCCCGTCTCAGCCTCCCAAAGTGCTGGGATTACAGGTGTGAGCCACCATGCCTGGTCTAATTTTTGTATTTTTAGTAGTTTCAAATGGTCAGTTCTATTTCCTCTGCTTTCAGTACTAAGCACTGGGAAGTCTACACATGGCAAGGTGTGTGAATTCATGTTAGTGTTACCTAAAGCATATATATTAGAAAAGTAACTACATATTGTTTCATGATATCATATGCATTTGCTTCCATTTAGATAACATTATTTGTCACCTTGTTTATGTGCTAAACCTACTACAAGAAAAATATACAAATTAAGAGCTTTTTCTTTTTTCTATTAGTAATAATTGCTGCTAGTTATTACAGAGTACGAAGCATACCACAGTTATAATTGACTCTGTTCTCCTAAATGCTTACAGTCTGATCATCTGTTGAAATCTCACAGGTTTTTGGTTTTGTGGTCATCTCAGAATTACTTCCCAAATTATTGAATTAAGGAGTAAGCATCAAAAACACTGAACAAAAGTTATTTAAAACATTACAAAAATATTTAGGGGCCTTAATGTGGATAATTTAGAATTTACTAGGAGATATAAAAAATTCAACTGGAATACAACAACTTTCTTTAAAAGTCTATTTATTTTTTCAAATAATTGATCTATTTCTACTGTAACAACTGCAGCCAATACTAGGGATGGCATTTAACTAATCCACCCCATGAGGCCGCTCATAAACCTGTGTATTTTTAGGGAGGCCACCTTTTTTTTTTTTTTTGAGATGGAGTCTCACTGTCGCGCAGACTGGAGTACAGTGGCGCAATCTCAGCTCACCGCAACCTTCACCTCCCGAGTTCAAGCGATTTTCCTGCCTCAACCTCCTGAGTAGCTGGAATTACAGGTGCGTGCCACTGCACTCAGCTAATTTTTGTATTTTGAGTAGAGACAGGGTTTCACTATGTTGGCCAGGCTGGTCTTGAACTCCTGACCTCAGGTGATCCGCCCGCCTCAGCCTCCCAAAGTGCTGAGATTACAGGCGTGAGCTACCGCGCCTGGCCACAGAGGCCACTTTTGATGTAAGGGAAAAGAGGTAGTGTATATATTATGAAGGCTTCTTTTTAATTCTCCTTCTGTTCCTCCCATCTTGCCTTCCCCTAACCTCCATCTTCTTCTCAAACGTTTAAAATAATTCTCTGGCAGTTATCCTCCAGATTTAAGATAGATAGCAATCTGTGAGTCCTAATAATCTCATATTACTAGATTTTTTTGGTGTTTCCTTCTCTTCCTTACAAAAATAAATACTGAGGCCAAGTTAAACTTCGCACCGAAAGTCACTGATGAAGTTGGAGAGATAACCCAGAATTCCAGCAGAGGAGGTTTTTTTTGTTTGTTTTGGTTTTTTTTTTTATAGACAGAGTCTCGCTCTGTCACCCCGGCTAGAGTTCAGCGGCACAATCTCGGCTCACTGCAAACCCCGCTTCCCGAGTTCAAGTGATTCTCCTGCCTCAACCTCCCGAGCAGCTGGGATTACAGGCATGTGCCACCATGCTCGGCTAATTTTTGTATTTTTAGTAGAGATGGGGTTTCACCATGTGGTCCAGGCTGGTCTCGAACTCCTGACCTCGTGATCCACCCACCTCGGCCTCCCAAAGTGCTGAGATTACAGGTGTGAGCCACCGTGCCCAGCTCCAGCAGAGGCATTTTCTACACTGAGAAGATTCTTGGAGAGCTTTAGTCATTATCCAGGACCCCACAACTAGGAAATGGAAGAACCAGGTTCAAACACAGGACTGGGTGGCCCCAACGTGAATTGTTTAAAAGCTGAATTATACTTGAGTAGAAATAATACAGTCAGCTGTCGCCTGGCATGTCTTCAACTCGAATTCTCTATTAATTGTTGTGTTGCTGGACTGCCAAGACAAATCTTGTTTATAACACAAATCTTCAAGAACCTTCTTAACTCTCAGAAGATTAGACAGTGTTCACTGTGGTTTATTAGGTATACTTTATGATGTTGAGAAAAATGTTTGTTCATAAATCACCAATGGAGTGACTTTTTAATCCTTTTTTTGAGGCATAATGAATGTTTGGTGACTTTTTTAATGTGAATATTTGAACACCACGTTTCCTTACTGTGCTGGGTAGTTGAGAGTTTATGATCCTTAATAAATTTATGCCTTTCTACATTTGTGAACGTGTCCAAAGAACACTAGGAGTTGCCAGAAAGATAAGTCCTATGCAAATGCTTTCTAAACATTGAAATTCATGGAATTAAGGCATGGGATGTTATGCTCTCCCCTGAAAAAGTATTTTTCTCCTGGCAGGAGTAAAAGTCAAGTTAAAATGGAGGTTCTGTGCTTTTGAATCCGTTAGTATGCAATTAATAATCCGAAGTCTTGCAGTCAGAGAGTTTAAATTCTGAAAGGCCTTAACATCTGTTCACAGTGCTCTTTGAGACAGGAACTGTAATTGCCTCACCAGCTGAGAAGAGGTGTATGCTATGGGAGGCCGCATGTGACATTCCAGATAGTACTAAAGAGACTTAGTACCATCTTCTTAGAGTTGGCTTCACAAGAAACTTATCCTTTTGTTGGCATTTCAAAGGAGGCTGCACCTTTACTTATTTTAAAGAGAATAAAGAAAATCTCTTTACAAAGGGGTTTGATGTCAAAAAGTACTTTGGTGTCTTGGGAGAAGGCCTTTGGAAATAATTTTTAAAAATCTATAAAAGA